AAAACAAACCACTGTGAAGGGATGTGCCTGACCAGATAGTAAAACTCACTCTGAAGGTACTATAATCAAAATAACATGATATTGACAGTAAGATAGATAATAAAGAGAATAAAACTGATTAGAGCCCAAGAACAGAACCAACACAGGAAGTTTATCTAAAAGCAAATAAAGTTGGGCCTTTTTTTTCATGCCATATGCACAATAAATTCTGGATGAATTAAAATTTGAATGTAAAAAAATAAAAACATTAGAAGGAAATTTAAAAGAATATTTGTGTGACCTCTGTAATGACAACCCTCTCAACTAGAAGAACCCAAAAACTATAAAGAGAAAACAGATTTGACTACATAACAAGTGTTTACATCTTCTATAGGGCAAAAGACACCAAAAATTATGCCAAATGAAAACCTGCAAGAAAGTATTTGCAACATGTAATAAAGTAACCATGAAAATTCAGATCAAATGAAACCAGTGAAACCTTTTTTCTTCCATCAGATGAATAAAAATGCAGTCTGCTAACATCCTGTGCAGGTAAGAGGGTGGCAAAGAGCACATTTATATAATGTTTCTATGGGCAGGAATGACTACAATCTTTTGTGGAAATTAATCTGACAATACTTAATGAAATCGCAGATTTGAATACCCTTTTGACTAGCAATTCCACTTGGGGGAATTTGTGCTCAGAAAACAAGCACTGGCTTCTAAGGTTAGATAAACAGCATTGTTTGTAGAGACATCGAGCCGATACAACCAGAATATTCCCAACAGGAGAATAACTGAATAAATTATAATAATTCATACAATGGACTCTTATTCAGTCATTAAAAATAATGGGGATAATAACAATGGGTTACAGCTGCGAATATTTATTATACACTAATTAAAATAAGAAGTCACAGAAGGTGTGTGGTATAATCTTTTTTGTAAATGTTTTTAAAAGAAAGGAAACATACTCCACACGCATCCATAAATTCTAATATTTTTGTGATTGTAAAGGGAAGCATGGAAGGATCCTATGAACCAACACTGGTAATACAGATTTCCAGTATAAAATAGGACGAAGGTACTGTTGTCATTTTCTTGTATACTTCATTGTTTTCAGTTATTGCAACATGTATATATTGCTTTTGGTGTATGAAAAAACCCAACGGTGTTGCTTTTAAATAAAAAAAATATGCATACACACACATACACACACACCCATCTGTACAGAGTAACATAAGCAGCTCCTAATGACTACGTTTTTATCAACATTATGTAACTGGTAATGGGGGTAATTCACAAGGTGCTTGTCTGTCACTCATGCCCTGGGCATTAAAAAATGTTCAAAGGAAAATAATAAAGCTACTCTATTAGAGGGTAACTATTCAAGACCTAGCTCTGTTAGTCTTCAACGGGCCAGTCATTCATTCATTCACGAGGGATCTAGTCCACCTCCTAACTCCTAGCTGAATGGCAAGGACCAATGGCAGTAACACCATTCAGAGGTGGTTCCTCAAATGATTGAAACGGTAGCTGCTCCCTCCTGCCAGGCCTGCTGCCCCCTCAGCCTCCTCTAACTTTGCCAAGGTCTCCCCTGAACCTTAAACTTTCTCAGCTTCCCAAATGTAATGCCTCCCCAATTTTCTCTTACATCTTCACCTTTCTATGCATGTCTTACTTTTCCTGAGAAACAGAGAGTGTGACTTTCTTGCTGAACTTTTTTCTTTGACTCATTACCACCTTGCTTTATTCCACCCTCTCTGCCTCTGCCTAGGGGGCAGTTAGGTCTAATGGCTAGAGGTGTGGCCTCTTAAGTCAGAGCAACTAAGTTCAAACCTGACCTTGGCCACATCTCAGCTGAGTGACCCTGGGTAGGTGTGATGGTTAATTTTGTTGGTCCACTTGTCCACTAAGTGGTGCCCAGACAGCTGATAAAACATTGTCTTTGGGTGGGTCAGGGAGGCTGTCTCAGGAACAGACCCGCATTTGAATCAGTCAGCTGAATAAAGCTGGCAGCCCTCACCAGTGTGGGCAGGCGTCATCCAACCCACTGAGGGCCTGAATAGACCACAAGGGCAAAGGAGGGCAAATTCACTCTGACTGAGCTGAGCTGAGACACCATCTTCTCCTGCCCTTGGACATTGGCACTCCTAGTTCTTGGGCCCTGGGATTCACACCTGATGTTACACAATTGACCTCCTGGATCTTGGCCCTTTAGACTCAGGACTGAATTAAACCACTGCCTTTCCTTGTTCTCCAACTTGCAGCTGTCAGACTGTGGGACTTGCATAGCATGTGAGCCAATTCATCTACTAAATCTCCATATATATAATTTATTTGTATTTTTATATATGTGTATATGTATTCATCCTAGTGGTTCTGTTTCTCTGGAGGATCCCCACCAATACAGCAAATTACTTAATCCCTTTTCACCTCAGGGTACTCAGCAGAAGCTGCTAAGGCTTTTTAATCAAAGCTTAGGCCCAGCACTGAGACCACCTCAGCTCTACTGCATTCTACTGGCTGAGGCAAGCCAGAGGCCCAGTCCAAACACAAGAGCATGAGTACCAAGGGCCACAGTTGAAATGTGCTATCACACCACATAGGACACTCAACTTAACGTCTGGCCCACAGTATGTGCTCAAAAAATTTGAGCTCTTTCTCTTAGATATTATTTTTTTCTTAAATAGAGAAGAGTTGTTTTTACAATGGTTCTTCACCATGTACAAACCACAGAGAAGGCCTAGAAACCTAGAGATTGCTACAGAGCCCACACATCAGAAGATGCAGAGGAACCAGAGCATGGCCCTAAACCCCTGAGAGCAGATTTAGGTAGGAAGCCAGACTCCCTAGTTCCCATTCTTCAATGAAAAATATCTTTGCAAAGTGGTTTCCAGGTCTCAGAGGACAGGCATTTATATGGCAAGGGGCCAGTGTTATCACTCAGGGCCATGCTAACAGGCAAACTTTTGCCAACATAACTGGAACCATTTCCACAAAGGGCGGAGACAATATGTGAAAAATAGTATATACAGCACTGAAAGAATTTTAAAGGTACTGGTGGCAGATTGGATTAAGTCTGAAGAAAGAAAACAAGCCTATGAGAAAGTGGATGGAAGGGTAGGAGATGGAGGGCAGGAAGTTACCTTAAAGTATCAAAAATGTAAACAAAGTCTATTGTTCCCAGATCCTAGAGGAACATCTAATATGGCCAACATTTACAGAACTGGTCTGAATTGTGGAAAGTTAAAAATAGGGTATGGTTACTGAAAGGATTAACATTAGAAATGCAAACTGACTTACTGTTTTAGATATTTAACTTTTAACACTAAAATGGAGTGAATGTACATTTTTCACAGACACAGCTTTTTATTGTGTCCAATTAATATTTTTCCTCTTAGGTTTATTGTTAAAAGGTGGCTATCTCTTTTTCCACGCCCCTGGGGAGTACTCACGTCGCAGCTAAAGGCTAACTGGGAGAAGGGGAGCCAGGAAGTGAAGCTAACTCAGCTGTCTGCCACCCGTAGGCTGGTTCCAACAGACAGAAACCTCAGTGCCCACAAGAGAGACGACATGAAAACAATGCATATTAAGTAATGCTAAAAACTGAGCAACAGATGTGTGAAGACTATATAGCGGTCCATTTGAATCATGGCTGCAACCTCCTGGGTTGCAACCTCCCCCCTCTGATTTGAACACTCCCAGCTGTGGTCATACATACAGTTGGTCCTAATCAGCTAAGACTCATCCCTGGTCTGAAACAAGCTTTGAAAACTAATACCCCCATTAGGATGAAGGGCCACACCTGTATTGATCAGGCGCTCACAGTCAGTGTTACTCCCCCCTCATTTTAAAAGCCATACCAAGGACTTTGAGAACAAAGACCATTACAAAAGAACATTCAAAAAGCAAAGCTGGACAGAATTTTTTTAAGTTGCAAAACTCAAGAACAAGTAGCAAATATTCACTACAAAGGCTTAGTTTCGATTTCTGCAGACAGAATTAAAACATACTGAGTTTACAGTAAGATGTACTTCAGCACCATAAACCAAATGTAGTTACAGATGTCAAGAGTTCTCAGAGCAAGTGCCTCTCTTTATGAATATCTACTTTGCATATATTTTCCCGTTCCCATATGTCCACTCTTTATTAATACGGGGGAAAAGCAACTTTCATCAAAAGGCTACATAAAACGCCAAAATTTTTAACTCTTGGGGACAATCACTTCCTTACAATAGAGATCTTCTGGTGGCTTCCTCCTGTGGAGGTTCGTTAGTCACTGGCTTCTCTAATCTGGGGATCAAGAAGCCTGAAAATGAGTCACCCTCGAGGTCTGGGGCTCGGAAAATAACGCTCCCTGGACTCCGGCTGCGGGCAGCCTACCCCGTGCCGCCGCCCACAGAGCACTGCGCCCCGGGCGGACGCGAGAAACGCTAAGTCCCGGACGCCAAGTCTGCGAGCGGCCGCAGAGGGCGGGCCGGTCTCCGACGTCCCGACTGACCGCAACCCGACGGGACGCGCGCGCCCCGCGCCCCAGCAGCCAGCTCCAGCCACCTGCAGGGCAGGATGTGCGCCGAGCCGCCCGCAGGGTTCGGATCCCACCTCCCTGCCTCGGTCATGGCCGCTTGCCGGACAGGTCGGCACCGAGCCGGGCCGGGGCGGGTCCCCGGTCCCCAGCGCGCAGTCCCCTAGGGTCCAGCCGCCGGCCCAGGCGCGGACCTCGGGGTCCGACGCGCGCCTGCTGCCTCATCCTCTCACCAGGCGACTGTCGCCCGGGCCTCTGCGGGCTCGGCGGACGTCGAGCTTGTTTCCTCCAAGAAAAGTAACTCCGGGGAGCAACGCAATAGGGAAGGGAGAGCGATACTGCGAAAGCGGTAAGTAGGGTCCCGGAGTTACTGAGCCCGGAGTTTTGAACCGCACCCCGCGCTGCAGCAGCTCGGCCCCGGGCGTTCGCGCCCCCAAGTTGGCGCTGTGGCCCGCGCGCGCAGCCCCGTCCCCGCCCGGCCGCGGACACTCACCGAGAAGCCGGCCCAGAAGGGGCAGGAGTGGCGGACGCGGGCCGAGGTGGTGAGCGCCAGCGCGGCGAAGCTGACGGCCACGATGAGGCATCCGAGCGCCATCTGCGTGGCCCCGAGCGCCAGCACGATGCGGGAGCGGCCCGGGCACTCGCGCAGGCGGGACAGGCTGCGGGGCAGCGCGGCGGGGCGCGGCGCTCGGGGGCCGCCGGCCCGAGGCATCGCGCCGGGCGCCCGTACGCCTCGCCCCGCTCCCGCCCGGCCCCGGCGCGCGCCGCCGCCGCCTCTGCTCACAGAGGGTCCGAGGCAAGTTGCGCCGGGCGAGGGGACGGCCGCGGCGGCCGCGCGCCGGGAGCGGGCCGGGCCGGGCGGGGAGCTGGGCGCCCGGTGCCAGTGCCCGCGCCCATGCCGCCGCCGCCGCTGTTCCGCAGGGCAGCCGAGCCGCCGGCCGCGCAGCGCGGCGCCCTCTCCCGCCCGCCCCGCGCGTTCCCCGGGCCGAGCGCGGGCGCGAGGCGCCGCCGTCCCCGGGAGCGAGCCCCGCCGCGCGCGGGGCCGGGAGCGGTGGGCCCAGGTGCGGTGGCCGCGGCCGGGCCTCGGCGCCCTCGCCTCCCGCGGAGGAGGGCGGTGGGGGCCGCGGGCGCGTCCAGGACGCGGGCGGCGGCAGCAGCCTCGGAGGCGGAACCCCGGAGGCGGGAGCCGGGCCCGCGGGCGAGCCGCGCCGCAGGGGCCAGCCCGGGATGGGCGCGCGCCGCGGTAGCGGCGGGCACCGGGCGGCCGCGGGCTGGGCGGGGAGCGGAGCGGAGGTGAATTCTGAGCGCTCTCTCCCAGGTGTGGCGGCAGGCGCCCTTCTCGAATGCGGAATTCCAAGAGCCAAGACGCCGCTTTTCTGCAGTCCCAGAATTTCCCAGTCCATCCGCTCAGAGCTCGGCCGTGGAGGACTGGTTATTTAAAACATTCCCAGTTCACAAACGGAGGTCCCTTACCCACCTTTCGTTTGCAGGGCTTTTGATACAATTAAAAAGTTTGGACTTAAAACGAATTGTCCGAAACGAATTTAAATAACAGTGTCATTAAGGACCTATTAAGTCATCTCTACTCCCTTCTGCCAGTATAAGGTTTTAGACTGATTATTGGCTTCTTTGAGGCATCAAGAAAACTTGGAAGTGTTGAACTGCCATACTTCTCTTTGTGGCCCTCTTTATGTAACACCTTTAGGACTACTGGTGTTGAAAAGGGCTGTTGACAAATTAAGAGACCCATGAGTGTTGAGGTCTGAAGGGGTCAGGTAGGAAAAGGCAAAGTTCATAGTAATAAATGGAAATGGTGGATCATTTTCCTGAGACCATTTTTCCACGGCCTTTGGCTGAACCGAAGGAGGCCTCAGCTGGATTGGAAATACTGGGGAGCTCGTCCCAAAATATCTCAGTTGCTGGTGCTTGAAATTTCAACATTAGAGATATTGATTCCTTTGGGGCTTGACGAGCCTCTATTAAAATGCAAATTCCTCTTGAAGGGGCAATAGCTCAAGCCTTTATCAGCCAACACCTTAGCAGAGATGGGATTTATTTTCCTATTTAACTGGATGACCACGGGATGAACAGGCAGTGGGGAATTCCACAGATAAAGTGGCTGACCTCAAAATATTGGCCTGTGGCCAAACACTGCCTTCTCCACCAGTTTTTATCTATAACATGATTGAGGCTCAGGCTGGCATCATTTAGAGCACTGGAGTACAAATTCAAATTTCCTGGAGACATTATCTAGAAATTTGCAGGGCAGCACTTTTTAAGAGCTTGGTCCTACACTGCAGGAAGTTAGGTCTCCCTGTAGTCTCTCTGAGTTATTCATTTATTCATTCCTCCAACACGAGTTCACAATGGGCTATCCAAGCACCAGGCACCCCCCAGCTACATCAGTGAATAAAGCAAAACCATGCTTTGTAGTTAGGAGGAGACAGACAAACAATACGAAAACTATATAGAGTTTGTTGACCTTATGTAGTATTCAAAAAAATACGTTAAACACCCATTATGTGCCAGACATTGAGGATGTACGAATGAGCAAAAGCAGACATGCTTCCTGTACACAGAGAACATTCAGTCTAGTGGGGAGACAGACAGCACACATATAATTGTTCCAAGGTCAGTTGCAACTGGGCTCAGTGTTATGGGGAATTCTCATGGTGCCAAAAACCAAATAATAAGGAGCTTTGAAAAGAGCTTTCTGACCACCATATAGAAAGAGGATTGAGGGATGCCCAACTGAATGTCAGTGTCCAGATGCTGTTGCTGTAATCTAGGCAAGAGGTGCCACTGTTTTGGATTAAGGTATAGATGGTGGAGATATCCAGAAGTGGTGCATTTGGAAGACATCAGCAATAAATTAAATACGGACTAAATGTGTAGGGGGTTGCCATTTGGTGCATCATGGAGCCGGTTAGTGAATGTTGGAAACCTCCAATGAATTCCATTTATTTATGTACATATTAGATGTGCTTCCAAAATATACGTGAATCATTCCTTCTATTTATAAATGGCATAGAAAGAGAGCCCCAAGCAGTATAGCAGGGGATTTTGGTATAGCTGGATTAGGAGAAGGACCTACCTTCTCTGTGAAATTTGATTTGGGGGCAAAAGGGGAGGCTGATTCTGAAATTAGAATTACTTTGCTATTTTATATATTAATTACATATTTTAGAGAATTTAAAAATTCTGTTGCATTAAATGCAGTAGCCAAAGTTACCTTCACAAACAGTTGGAATTTGGAGATATATAATACTTTTTAAGTGAGTCAGTTTCATGGAAGTGAATTATAGAGGAAGGAAGGAAGAAGGGAGGGATGGAAAGAAAGAGGGCTTAGTAGTCGTAGCTCTGATCAAGACAACTCATTGACTCTCTTTGTTCCTTGGTGTTTTTTCTTACAAAAGGCTGCAATAATACATGTCCTAGCATTATGGAAGATACTTGGAAGCTACTGGAACAAACTTATAGCCACTTTTTCTTCTCCCGAGATCAGATGAGATGAATAGACAAAAACTATTCTTGGCAAAGCATGACAAGGTGCCTGAGCTTTTTCAGGAAGGCAGGATGCATGCCTTATTGCACCAATGAAAGATGAGTAACACAAATGCTTTGTTCACAGTGCCCTTGTTTTAGATGCTTGCTCTCTTCAACATTTACCTCTCTGTAGATACGTAAGAAATAAATGTGTCCCTTTGTATCTACTATAAGGCAGAAGAAAGATGTACCTGGATCTCACAATCTCCACCCTCTGGAAAAGTAATAATCGGTGGAGAATCTCTGCCTCCAGAAACATCAGGCTACTGAATTCTCCTGCGAAAAACAGCTAAGAAGCCAAATGAAATATAGTTAAGAGTCTCTTCTTAAAAATAGCGAAGAATTATTGAGATAATGAGGGAACACCAGGCCAAGATCCAAGAGGAGGAATCAGAAGTGTGTACAACCCTTGGGCAACTTCTGCCCTGGGCACTTGCATGTCTGGCTCTGGCAGCCACACAGGGTTAGAAAAATGAGTTCTGATTCCAGGGCTCTCCAAAGGTAGGGACTCAGAATACCAGTACCCTGCTTTGTGATGAAACTCCAGATGGCTTCACTCCAGGAGTGGGAGAATAAGATAATCTTCCCTCTGGGTTACAGATACTTAGAAATCCCAAATCCCAAATTTGGATTAAGATAATCCTGAATTACTCAAGCCACTAGGGGCTGGCAAAAACTATAGAAAATCTCCTTGGGAGAATGTTAACATCATCCTAGGCCTCAAATTATTTCTACAAATAGCATTTTAAAAATTCACTTTCCTTTAACTTCCTCAACATGATACTTAAGAAAAACCTACAACTAACATCTTGATAAAATGCTGAAAGCTTCCTCCCCAGATCGGGGGTTAGATAAGGATATCCACATTCAACACTGCTATTCATCATTGTACTAGAAATTCTAGCCAGAGCAATTAGATTAGAAAAAGAAATAAAAGGCACCCAAACTGGAAAGAAAGAATTAAAATATCTCTATTTATAAATGATATCATCATGTAATTATAGAAAATTTCAAAGAATCCCCAAGAAAACTACTAGAGGTAATAAATTCATCAAAGTATACAAAATCCACACACAAAAAATCATTTATGTTTCTATCTACTAGCATTAAACAATCTCAAAAAGAAATTAATAAAGTGATTCTATGTATAATGACATCTAAAAGAATAAATCACTTGGGAAATTTAGAGAAGGTGAAAACTTGTACACCAAAAATTATAAAACATTATTGAAATAAATTCAAGACCTAAATAAATGGAAAAACATTGTGTTCATGGATAGGACAATTCTATATTAAGGCATCAATGCCCAATGTGTTCTGCAGATTCAATGCAATCCCTATCAGAATTCCACAAGACGTTCTTTTGCAGAAATGGAAAAGCCATTCCTCAAATTCATATGGAATTACAACAGCACAAAATATCCAGTCTTGAAAAAAAGAACAAAGTTGGAAAGACTCGTACTATCTGATTTCAAAACTTACTGCAAAGCTTACTTTCAAAGCTACAGTAATCAAAACAGTGTGCCACAGGCATAAGGACAAACAGACTGTTGGAGTAGAATTGAAGGTGCAGAAATAAATCCATCTCTCTAAAGCTAACTGAGTTTTGACAAGGATGGAGAAAGAATAGTCTCTTCAACAGATGGGCTGGGACAACAAGATTTTCACATGCAAAAGAAAGACGTTAATCCTAACCCTAACACCAACCTCACACCATCCACAAAAATGAACTCAAAATGGAGCAAAGATCTAAATGTAAGCAAAAACCATAGAATTCTTACAATAAAGCATTAGTATATATCTTCATGACTGGATGTGGCTGTGAATTTTCAGATATGACACCAAAATGTGAGCAATGAAAGAAAAATAAATCGTACTTCAACAAATTTAAAAACTTTTATGAGTCAAAGAATACTTCCAAGAAAGGGAAATAAACAAACTATAGATAGGAGGAATACTCACAAATTATATATCTAATGAGGATTTAATATCCAGAATATATAAAGAACCCTTACAACTCAAAAACAAGGAGACAAACAACCCAATTTAAAAATGAACAAATGACTTGAATAGGTGTTTCTCTAAAGAAGATATACAAATGGCTAATAAGCACCTGAGAGGATATCCAATATCAATGATAAGAGAAAAACAAATCAAAACCATAGT